CTACTACACCAAGACCCAGAGCGATTCCAGGTACTTCGTGGCCAACGCAACCGGAGCCAGTTCGGAGACGTTCACCCTGATCAGGAGCTGAGGGGCACTGCCACGCTCTCCGCTCTCCTTTAGCCTCCTCTTCTCGGGCACCATAACGGAGCTGAGGTGCGGCTTATTCGAAGGCTCAGGCCGACGGCAGGTACCTCAGCAGCACCAGCACCCTGGACGGGCGCTGCCTGGTGACCAATGCGAACCCCGGCGGCGCCGAGGTGTTCACCCTGATCAGGGATGCCAGCGCGGTGCCGCGGCAGCTCCGCGGCATCCTTTCTCGGGCGCCGCTAGGTTTCAGCAACATCCTATCAGGAACGGTCACAGAGCTGACCTGTGACGCCTGGGCCAAGGCGGAGGCCGACTTCTACATCCGATCCCTTGCCGACAGCACCCTTCAGCACCGAGATGGGGCTCCAGAACCTGAACTTGCAGGTCGCAGACCGCGAGACACGCGTCACGGCGCTGTGCAGACATCTCGGTGAGCAGCATCTCCGCCGCGGGAGACTGGCTCACACTTGTTGGCGGAAGCAGTGGCACAAGGATTCATGATGACGCCAACAACGCGCTGTTCAGCATGACCACTGCTGAGGCCTTCTTCGGCGTCAGGTCTCGAGTGGACTGGCGCTTGACCATCGACACGCCCAGCGGGTCCGACGAGGGCCTGTACACCGCGGCAGTGCGCGCCAGGGTTGGCGACTCGCTGCTCACCCTGACGGGCGGAGCCGCAGGCTTGCGAGCAGAGGGCGCGGTGGAGATCACGGGCGTGACTACAGGGACTGAGGCAGTCTTTGCGACCAGCGTGGCCACGCCGCAGCTGCAGCCCTCGCCCAGCACCAACGCCTACATGCGTATCTTCACCGGCAGCGCTGGACTGGAGGTCTCTGACCAATCGCTGAGCCCGCTGCTGCAGGTTGAAGACAACGAAACGAAGAGCCTCAGCAGATTGATCTCCGTAACGAGGTCTGCCACTGGAGGCGTGGTAGGGGCCGTTCTCAAGAATACTGCTGGCACTGTTTGCCAGACTGCAGCTTGACGCAAACAATTCCACGGGCCTGGTGAGGCTGGAAGCAGC